ATTCTATTCTATTCTATTCTATTCTATTCTATTCTATTCTATTCTATTCTATTCTATTCTTTGGAACAACCATGACCTGGATGACTGAGAATCTCCATAGACAAAACCCAGAGAAGTTTATGGAACCTAAAGGTTAAAAAAGAAATGAAAATACACTTTACTCTATAAAGTAGACTTCTCCATTCTCTGTATAAGCCATCTCCCAGTTTTCAGGCAGAGGACCCAAGTGTTCCTCTGCACAAGGAGGTAGGTATTGAGGGAGCTTCTCAGATGGTTCCGTGGTGGAAGCAGTGGTGATGCTACTATTCAGAGATGGGAGAGCTGCATCTCTTATACTGTGTATATTGTGCTCGTCTTGTTCACCGGATTCTGCTGTAGAAGAACATAATAAATAAAAAGAGATTATTACTTGGAATATTTATAAAGCCCCCCTTTTTTTGTTTCCATCCCTACTTGGTTTAGACCAGGGCTGTCAAACGTCATGCGCTGGCCACGCCTACACCCGATTTAGCGAAGGGGGGGAATCCTGATACGTCATGTGACGCTGCCGTGACGCTGTGAGTTTGACACCCCTAGTTTAGACTCTCCACTCACTAACTTAGAATGATACAGAGTTTTAGACCCTTTCACACTGGACTGAATGAGGGACAGATCAGTTTTCTTTTCTTTTTTTAGAAACAAATTATCACCAATGACGTGGCATTAACGAGCAAATAGCTAAGAGGGACGTACATTATTTATGGACCGTAACACACACATACATTTTAAAAAGAGCTTTCAAAATTGGAAAATGAGTCTTAAAATAACAAAGACAGTTTCAATATAAAAATCCGTACTGAGATACAACCCCCTCCCCCAAAAATCCTAAACTTTAAATACATGTTTATGGACTCTGACTTAGTAGTGAATAAATAAGAACCTGATACATACTTCTAAATGGCTGAAAAAATATATAAAAGTACAATTACTACAAAGCAGAAAACATAACATTGTAGCCTGGAAAAGCTACAGAAAATAGAATGGAACTAAAATGATCAAGAGTTGATATAACTGTCCTAAGTACAATATTTCTGGTTGGATTTCTGAAACTTAGGAAAAAACTCAGAGAAAGTGGAGGAGAACTATAATGCTGATCTGGACCTCAAAAAAATCCAGTTTGACACACCTGATCTAGAGAAACTTTTTCAAAGCTATCAGAAAAATCAGAATATCGGACTCTATTCTCTGTCTTGCTGGTTTCCACAAAGCAGCTGTTCCTTAAAAGCATGACTCATTTTACTTGTTATGGAAAGTAGGGATATGCAGCAGTTTGGAATTCCGTTGTCTCCAGCTATTGCAATGTCCACTATCCAGATTTTTTTTTTTTTACATTCTTATCAACAGTGGTTAGGTCTGATGTGTTATGTAGCAGATGCTTGTCAGTGGTTAAGTAAATGCCATGGTTGTTAAGTTAAACAAAGGTTTGCTGTGGGCCTGTTGAAATAAATGCCACTTTTCAGCAAAATTGTGGTAAAAATGCAGTCATGTAATCATGGGTGAGCACAAATGGTTGTACATACAGGTCAGCTGCTGAACTCCTGACATGTGGAGGACAGGTGACTGTGAGGGAGGAGAGCTAGCAGTGGGAACTTTGGAACTGAGTTGTAAGTACTTCGAGGAGGTCCGTGGTAACTTGCTAAGTGACCAGTCGCAAGCCAAGGACTTTGTGTACTTTGTCTATTTTGTGGTCCCAACAATTCTTGCTTACAAGCAAGTGGCGTCTCCTGCTGATATTCCAATGCATCATTGTTGCTACTTTGACATTCTGTTGGCATTTTTATCTATCTATTGAGTTTTTCCCAAGAAACTGTCCTCTTCGAAATAGGATGTAGACATTCCAATTATGCTCCATCAGGTGATTTTTTTTAAAAAAAAAAAAGGATTGTTGTTAGCAGCAACAACCTTTTTCAATCTGTCAATGTTGTCTTATGTGTCTTACCACACATTACAGTTAATATATTACTCTGATACTTGTCTAATTGCAGTAATTGCAATAATGCTGGCTGGGGAATTCTGGGGGTTGAAATATACATGTCTTAAAGCCACCAAAGATGACAAACACTAATCTGACATATTAAATAATATACTATTAAGTAAGAAATACACAGGGTTATTGCTTAGGAGCCAAATTCCAACCAGTGTAATAGCCTTTGGTGACCCCCATCTGATAGCTTAAATTCAAAAATTAAAAATTAATTGTTTCCTCAGGATTGTTCTGATTACTCTCTTAAAAGCTGCAATGCATATCTTAAATTTGAAATTAGAAAAAAAATCATATTGTTAACAGAATGCAGCCAATCCCAGGAAATTACCTCATGAAAAAAATACTGATTTCCATGGATCATGATTCTCCTGATCTTCCAATTCATCGAGGGAGAAAGAGAGACCGAAAGAGAAGGGGGGAGACAGAGAAATTAAGAGATTTACCTGTAAAGCTACTGTTCATTTCAGGGGTGTCATCCTCTTCATTCTCTGCATGTACTAAACCAGCATTTTGCATATCATTGTAGGACTTGGTTCGTTTGGGAGTTGTCTGCTTGGAACTTGAGGGGAGATTTTGCAAAGCATCAGCATTATTCACTTTCCCACTGAGGGATTGGCTGGGAGGTTTGGGTGTTCCATAATAGTTACCTAGGAAATAGAAACACTTTTTATTTATTTATTTGATTCAATTTAGGCACCACCCAGTTGCAGCTGGCGGAGGAGGCTCACAATATAAGTTTAAAAAGGGAAGGAAAAGAATCCTGCCACTCTACATAGCATCATCATCATCATCATCATCATCATCACAACAACAACAACAATAATAATAATAAGTACATCCTTTTTTGGTAGCCTCATTTTTCCGGTTCTGCTTTGTAGTAGCATTTCATTAGAGTGCGGTTCTCTGACATGGTGTATTTCTGCCGTTTCTGAGGTTGTTCAGCTTCCAGTAGCCCTGCAAGCCCATGCCCTGGTTGCTCAGCTATGGGACTCGTGGCCTGTAGCCCACTTGTTGACAGGTGAACACCCGAAGCGGTCCTTGTTAACCTGGGCGACGACCAAGCCGGTATAGGCTTCATTCGGTTGTGTTTCACCATGATTCACTGCATGGGTTGTTGGCTGCCCTCAGTTCTCCTCCTCGGCCGAGACCTCTTTGACATGGTTGGACCTGCTGGTAGTTTGCACTACCGCCAGCACAGCTCTCAGCTTCATTGGAACAGTTAAGCCCCACCCACCCGCCGCTATGTCAAGGCGGCACCGCTGAATACAGATTGACAAAGTTTTGGAACACAATACCTCAGATATCACGATTGTGGAGAAGAAAAAAGTATGGATCGTCGACATTGCCATACCTAGTGACAGCAGAATCAATGAGAAACAACTTGAAAAGGTCACCAGATATCAGGACTTGAGAATCGAACTATAGAGACTCTGGCATAAACCAGTACAGGTGGTTCCAGTGGTACTCGGCACACTGGGTGCTGTGCCTAAAGACCTAAGCAAGCACTTAAAAACAATTGGTGCTGACAAAATTACCAAAATCAAGGCCTTGAAGAACAACCAGGTTATTAGGGAAAGCCAGTATGAATCTCAGAGGGGATCTTATTTTAAATTTGCAAGTTTGTATGCCATCCCATTCAAAGTTTTCCTTTTCTCCCCTTCACTAGCTGCAACAATAGGCATTTCCCCCTTAGTATTTATTTAGCGTATGATATACAATGTCAGGGAAATCTGCAAAATGCTAGAAACAATGCAGTCCTGGCAGCCTAAATTATTTTATACAGGTATGAATAAGTTGCGGACCCTGACTTCCCATCAACTGGAAAACTTTAAACAGATGTCTGCTGTGTTATTTTGCAGCAACATAACCATTTTTATTTTAAAAGGAGAAACAAAGTCTGCAGTTTTAGGGGCACCACACATATAAGATCTAAACAAAATAAAAGGCAACTGAGACTAATGGAAGAAAAAAGGGAAGAAAAAAAATTACGTTTGAATTTTGATTAGTTATCTCCAAAGAAATGCATTTTAACACTGAAACATACTGACAGTGAACTTCTCACAAAATTCTATCATCACCTGGAAAAATAAGGGAAGGCTGAGATCATGTTCTTTAATAAATATCCTCAGCAGATGGTAAGTTCATTTTTTAAAAGCAACATTAAAAAAAAATGCAACCTACAGCCTAGAATATAAAACCATGTCACCTGCTTTAGAAGGATAAGCTTTTAATGGTTGGAAATAAAAAAAAGAGAATCAAAAGACAGATCAGATACATCTAATTTTCAACAACAGAAAATTACTCCTAGACAACTGCATGTCAAATGTGGAAGCTGTTCTTCTCAAAAATGGATGTCCAGGAAAAGCTCTTCCAACTACGTTAGAGTCATTTTATCTCCCATCTTGGTAGCATATGCTTGGAGATTTTCAGGATGGCACCAGGAAAATGTTACACATTTATCCCACTGCAATTGTTGAGCTTTGTACCTGCCAGGAACTGTTAAAATCCATGGGCTTGGCATAGCTCAGATTCCGAGGGAGAGCCCTCGGGGTGTAGATTTTTAAGAAAAAATATTTTTTAGATGTGTTAAATCTATCTGACAGTTTTGTTTCCTGCTCAAAATATTCAGAAAATGACTGCCAAAAAAAAAAAAAAGTGTAGGGAGCAGCATTTGAAATCTCATGAAGCTCATGGGCTGCCCATTCTTGTTTGAAATAACTGCAGACTCTTAATTAAATGCTTCCCTGGATTCAGTAAACTCAGTCATGTAAGTTGATTAATTCTTCCTAAACAGGAAAACTGAATTTCCTAGGCATTGCTAACAAAGGAATGACAAATGCCATATCTGCAAACACCAGGGTATCAGTCACTCTGCAAATGTCACTTATGACAACCCCACTTAAATTAAACCTTTTTTTTAATGGGCAGTTTTCTTCTTGTGGGTCCAAATCTGGAGAGATTTTTGATATCACTGTGTGAGGCCTTGCAGATGTTGCAGTGAGAATACTAAAATCTTGGGAAATGGAGATTGATGACGGTGGTTGAGAAATGCCAAGCCACCCTTCCAGTTTCTGTAATAATGTTCAGTGCACAGAAATATGCTAGGTGCTTTATAGCAGGGGTCCCCAACCGCCGGTCCGCGGACCGGTATCGGTCCGCGGAACAAGTCTTACCGGGCCGCTGGTTGCTGGGCACCGCCATCTTTTTTGACGAAAAAGTGCTTCCGGTGAGGTCACCGGAAGCACTTTTTCGTCAAAAAAAGAGGGCGGCGCCCAGTTGATGCTGGTACCGGGCCGCGGCGCCCAGCTGATGCCGGTACCGGGCCGCGGCGTCAAAAAGGTTGGGGATCACTGCTTTATAGAACAAAATCTATCCAGGAATGATCTAGTTTCAGCTAAGAGCCAAACCTTAACACTGCAATCTAGCCCAACATCAATTTATTAGGTTTTTTTTAAAAAAGTCATATATTGAAGTACAACCTTAAGATGAACCATACTAGAATTATATGACTAGTTTATGGAAAAGGACCAGGAGTGACATGATAGCAGTCTTCCAATATCTCAGGGACTGCCACAGTCAAGCTATTCTCCAAAGGACCCGAGGGCAGGACAAGAAGCAATGGATGGAAACTGATCAAGGAGAGAAACAAGAACCAAGGAGAAATTTCCTGACAGAACAATTAATCAGTGGAATGACTTGCCTCCAGATGTTGTGAATGCTTCAACACTGGAAGTTTTCAAAGAAGAGACTGGACAGCTATGTCTGAAATAGTATAGGGTTTCCTGCCCGAGCATCGGGTTGGACTAGAAGACCTCTAAGGTCCCTTATTCTGTTATACAAATACTTCTAGAAACTAGACTAGACCATTAACAGGATGCTACTTTCTAAATCTCTCTGGATCAGAGAGATGGGAAAGCCCATTTAAGTTTTCAATGGGGTGAACTTTCTCTCACCCATACCCTGATTTTCACCTTCTATAATTCGCTTCTGGAGGAGACTGAAGCTGAGGAAAATTACTCAATAGAGTGATTCCTTTTCAAAGGCCTTGCATAAATCAGTTCTAATGAACATAAAGGCTTTAGCTTCAGTGCAGATGTAGGACCTTTAAACTCCTTCTTCATTTTGGATTTGAAACGCACATGTATACATTATTGATACAGAGGAAATGGCTTCTTCTAGTAAAAGCATTAATGGGAATAATGAGTGCTCTTACAGCACATCCTGCCTCTCTTATTTGTATGCTCTAAATAATGCCAGGGTAGCAGGATGATGAATGGGGAAGAAGATTGAAAAAGATTTGGGGGGGGGGGGAGAAATAGGAAAAGAAAGCACTTCTTTAGACCATCTTCCTGTAACAGTTGTGTTGAAATAGTCGACAAAGGTTCTATAAACAACACAGTTTCTTCTGATAACTTCCATGATGCTGTAATGCCCTCAAATATTTTTTTAAAAAACAATTCATTTAATTGGAAAGAAAGAAAGAAAGAAAGAAAGAAAGAAAGAAAGAAAGAAAGAA